ACGTTCAGTATTGTCTTTCATATTGCTCAAAATTTTCAACTTGTTGTGTTGCGAACTGTCAAACTGAAATGATACTGTCTTCTATAACTCTTGAACAGTAGTGAACTGTCGCCGAAACTTATGTAAGTTCTGTCAATCAATTCAATTCACAGGTATCGTTTTATCTGCTAAATCAAATTAATAAAACAGTTATGAGTTGTTTTATATGAAAAGTTAAACTTGTAGTTCGATGTTTTGAAAAGTTTCACACCGATTTTAACAACAAAAACAAATGTAAACTAACACTGGATTTAATACAATGCGTATAATAGTGTTTTTTATTAGTATTTTCAAGATTAATATTTTATTTTCATGTCAAACAAGTCAGAAATATCTGTTTTCGTATGTATTGTAAGCCAAAAAGTTGAAATCACTATAAATCACCCGCTACAATTTACACGCATGCGCAGATCGTGCTCATGTCGAGTCGATTTTTTTTCATGCTGGCCACGCCGATTTTAGCGATGATTTTCTCGTGTTTTCTTCGGTGAAATTTTTTTAAACTTTGTATTTTTGTTATACAAGACGAGTGGTACAACATATCCAAATTTAAGAAATTCTACAAATAACTTTTTCTGTAATCGTCATTCACGAATATCTCGAAAATTTATTTGTAAATTCCCTTCAAATTTTGATATGTTTTTTCTTTATGGGCCATAAATCTTCAAAAAAAATTTCAGAAAAATTCACCGAAGGAAAATATAGATATTGTCAATTTATTGTGAAATTAGACAATAAAAGTGCAAAAGATTAAACATCATGGTTGCCATGGCAACACGAACACTGTTTTAATTTGTTCATAAATGGACAGCACATAGCTTCTGAACTTTCCTGGAAATGATCATATTGCCTTGTCTTAAGTGTATCTAATATAAACTCGGTTCAAAGCGAACGTTACTCAAAATACCTAGAATTTTAGAGAACTGTAGGGAGCCACCTTAATGTGCAAGTATCAGGCTTGGCATACATAAAAAACAATCAACAATATATAAGCTTACTACGGTGCAAAATTCATCTGGTTCCCCGAGGTGCGTATTCAAAATCGATTTCTAAACACATTTTCGGCACTTGGCCCATGGCCTATATTCGGATGGATATATCTAGCTGTTAAAATAGCATGTCTGTGCGGTATAACCACTGGGTATAACACACAAATATAAATAATGCAAAATGTAAAAATAGGTTCGCGACGCGTACATGTATCTGCGAAAAACCGTGATTCACATTTTGTATTTTCTTGAAAAGAACTGAATAATGAATATGACATGGGACAATTGAAATCTTTCATCACTTATTATAACATTATACTTTCCTTTTTCAATTGTGGGACTTACTGAAATCATGGATTGTAAAATAACTGGATAGGAAACTCCCTGACGTTACAGTCTAAATCTATAGTTGCAATTTGCGACGTCAAGCGCATTGCCAAAGTTCTCAGCGTTTTTGTTGTTTTGCTATATTTTCCACTTTAAAAGAGTAATAAAATTGACAGGGAATACTTAGAGATTTCATCGTAGAATGGCGTAGTTACATTTACTTGCTCTTTGACTAAAATGTTTAGTTGTATTATTGCTAAATATGCCGTTTTTGAGAATTTGGTTTGCAACTAGGTTTGAACATCCAACCACGCCATCAGCCCATTAAAAGCATTAGGTCACTTCAGCTAGTTTCCTATCCTGGCATTTATTTTATTATATTCATGCTGAAATCAAAATTAAAGTTGACCAAGAGTTTGATTGTAACATAACTTTACCTGGGTTCGTCTTTACGTCTTAAAGGACAATGGCAACAAATTTTTTTATTGTCTGTATTTATTAAGCTTACTAATGGAATACTTAATTTCATACTTTTGTTTGTCGATTGCATTTAGTTGTTCAGATAATTTGCGAAAATGTTTAACAAATTTTAACAGCCGTCCGCCATCTTGGGAAAATTCCGCGTATGCTAATTTATGCATGAATATATTTACAAAATTACCGAAAGGTACTATCATGTTGCTATCAAAGACATCAAACGTTTCTCAAAATCTTATTCAAAATGTTATTTAAATATGTTTACATTATTAATGCATACAAAATGTGACACACGTGATAAGCTGACAATCCACCAGATTGTATTTATAACTTCACAAGGTACAGATGAAGGTGTGAATTCTGAAAACAGTCAATTCTCAAGGGCTGCTCAAAAGCAAAACATTACTATGCAAGCCTTCCAATGTGTTAATATGTCAACATCAATTCCCCAAAATTGTGCCACTGGCACTGATTTTTGTTACACCGCATTTGGCAATCGCGACTTTTGTATGCGACAGGTATACAAAACTTTAAATCACATAATAAATGTCCATCAGTCTGCGCTTTGTTCAGACATCGAGACCAATCCTGGACCTGTATACTATATAGATCCTAGCATGACAATAAGTGCACCATATAGTCAGGGAAATGAACTTATATTTGGCGAAACAGCAGGACAGCAATGTTTGGCCATGTGTTTATGTGCGCTCATATGCAATAAAAGACAGGGATTTACTCATCACAAGATTTGGCTCGGTTAATGAATGTTGGCAATGAATTATACTCAAACTTGGCACGTTCGACAAGCCAATCATTTCTAATGTTTACAGAACTGCCTACGCAACTTACAGTATTCAACACAGATTATATTCTCCAGTACAGTGAAAGCTATAGTGGCAGACTACTTGGAGAAAGTCATATTGAAGGGTATCAGTACTGTGTACCATTTCATCGAGCATTTGAGTTGCTACTGACTGAAAACTTTGCTGCATTTATATTGACAATTGATTCCAATGCAGTTTGCATATATTCCATAAATGATGGAAATACAAAATATTTGACTCTCATTCAAGGGATATATATGGTAGAAGCCATCCACAAGGGACTTGTGTATTGTTAGAGACAGCAACTATCGACCATGTTGTTTTGCATTTACAGTCATTATACGGTGAAAACAGTCAGTTTGAGCTACGAGGAGTAAATATTGAAGAACAACAAGCTTCTTTTCACCACGCCCAAAACCTTAGTGAAAACGGTATGCCTGGTAGTGGTAATGTCTCACAGGAAACTAATACATGTGCATGTAGTTCTGACATTTCTCAATGTTGTGCAATTGCATTATATTCTATTTGTTACTCCACTATTAAGCCATGCAATTATTGGGATTCGAATACAGTTTCTGCAATTGCTTATTGGGGCACTATTTTGTATAACAACACTGGTATAAATATTTGGTCTTCAAGTACACTACCAAGGAAATATTTGAAAATGAAGTACATGTAAATTTACAAGCAAATTATCGAGGAGCATTAAGTGATAATGCAGAAAGCAGATTGGACATTGAACATTGTATATGTGATAATAATGAAAGCACAGGTTTTTTAATTTGGCTTGGAACTTCCTGTATTTCTTGCTTCATTAGTCGGTGGGGCCACCTGTGGTGCCCACCGACTCTAGGTTTGCCCTTTGGTATGCCACAAAATGACAAATTACGTCATTTTAATTACGTAATACTTACGAAATAAAAATCAAAATGGCGACCATGGAATAGCGTGCAAAAGTTCGCTATCGACTATTTGGTCCAGTCGTGTCTTTTCATTTGGGGTTTTTGAAATAAATATATCAAGAATTCACTAAAAGTTATCACGACGTTTTCACTGTTATGTTATCGAGCAGGGAAGCAGATAATTTGTACATAATTTCATATATTTGTATCGCGCGCGGCGGAGACACTGGGCGCGCAAATGTTGATGCTTTCTATATATTTATAGGTTTACACTTGGCCAATACTTTCAGAAGTTCGGAGTTCCTCTTCATACAAGCAGACATGATCAAATGAATATTTTACACACGTTCCCACTTTCTTATACTCTGGGTTGATAGACATAATGCGTGTCGGTTGGAAATATCCCGGATCGAATCCGTATCTCGTCAGGACACGTGGGAGTTAGGTCGACAAATAGATAAGAATAGGGATCTTTTGTTGCCAGTTGATAGGCTTGTTGAAAAAATTTGGTGTTACTGGGATACAATTGTTTGGCAAGATGGATAATTTGACTTGCGTCTCGCACGTTTTTCGTTAAACATAAATAACTTGCATTGAGAGAAATTGTACGGTGTTCTTTGCTATGATGAAATAAATTTTGTACAATGTACACTACACTCAGGTTACCATGATGCGATTTTTTCGTGAATAATTTTGAAATAACTCCGTCCTTCTCACCCATGAAATCATCAATGACATATAAATTGCGTGTTTCGGGATTAATATTATCCAGTATATCATCAGGTAAACCTTTTACAAATTTTATTCCAGGCACTAAATTTTGAATTTCTCCAAACGTGTCTTGGTACTCGGCATAAAAATACACAATGTTTTCTGGAGGTTTATCTATCATGACATTAACGTAACTCAAAAGTTTTTTCACAAATGTAGTTTTGCCTGACTTTGTACTGCCAGAAACCAAGAGCCCAAACGGATGTGTTAACTGTATGGAGTACATGTTGAAAATGAAATCATATATTTTTAATCGTCACTATTTATATCATGCGCCCAATAAGTCTATACAATTCAGTTAAAACTACTTCCAAGTCCAAAGGTGCGTATTTGGCACGGATAAGGAAAGGTTGTCTTTGTGCGGTGGAAAGTTCATGAACACCTGCTAAATGGTTAGATAATTTCAACAAATTTTTCTTACCACAAATCGGACAGTCTTTACGCTTTCGAGGCATGATGTGGAATGAAGACCTTACCTGACTCCCGTCTCTTATATAAATGTCCCGCACGGGACTTTTTTTGTCCCGGAAGTCCCGGAAACGCTCAAAGTGTCCCTGCGGGACTGTTTGTCCCGTGCTGGACTTATTTTGTCCCTGAAACTCTGCATGGGGGAGGGAGAGAGAGAAATACACAGTATGTTTTGAAAAATATATATATTGACTATTTACAAACTAAATATCTAATGGAATAGTGGAGACGCCGTCCTCCAAAACTTTACGTTTTGGATAAAAATAACTAAAAGCGTTCTTAACTTGAACATATGTACACATAGTATTATTTAAAACCCTAAAACCCCTATTTACACCCGACCCACTACGTTTACTTAAAAGCACATCTAAATATTTATCTTTATTAATTACATTATTTTTCTTATTTACACCCTTGCAACTATACTTATCTTTCTCCCCAAAACAATAATACGTCTTACTACATAAAGGTACAATTCCATCCCCTTCCCATTCCACTTTAAACAATCCCGGTTTTCTCCTGTCGTATTTCGCATGTTCAGTTGTATCGGAACGAGGAAACCAGTTACATTTATCGTTCTCAAACGCCGCTCTTAAACCAGGCTTGACCAATTCTTCAACACTTTCACCACTAATAGCGATATAGGCACTGTCTGTATCCATCTCGCAATACTCATAATCGGAACGGTCAAGAAATGTATCTAAACAGTCGTAGTAAAACTGTAACATTCGGAGTTTCGCATACTGGTACACGAAGAACCCCACCTGTAAAATAAGAATAATTTATTAACTTATATTTCTAATGACAAAATGATCATGCAATACGTACCTGTAGTGGTAAGTCCAACTTAATTTTCTTCTTAGCACTTTCCACTTCGTAGGTGTCATCGTCGATCACGTTCATTTGGCGGTAGAATGGTGAGTTGATTAATTCAGAAACCTCATCATCGTTGCAGTAATCCACCTTGCGATGACGCTCTTTGTTGGTGATGGTCTTCCCGTATGAGCTGTATAGAAATACAAAAATGAGTATTTCTTGAATACGTCACAACAGCGTGATTTTAAAACTCACCTATTCCCGACCAATTTCATCGTGTCCGCGATGATGGCTTTGGAGGGGTCTGCATCACCAGCACGACGAGCATCCGATACAGCGTCACTGAAAGGTTTGAAGCATGGCTTAGGGGTATACTCGACTATCTGGTAGACGTGTGTTACCTAAAACGATAATACAATTTGTTAAACATTTTCTCCTGCAATTTTACAAGTTTTTAATATTTAAAACGTACCTCTAAACCATGTTCTAAATACCATTTTAGAAGAGGGGTTGCCAACATTATGTTCTTTCCGATCATACTTCCAATGAGACTCCGCCGGGGTCGGGGCATGATGTTGTTTTCTTCGGCGTAGCTCTTCATGGGGCACATCTCGCAAACTCTCAGGTACGTGGATGTCGCACTCGACACAGCCAAATAACGCATCATTCTTCACAGCGTTGACAATTGATCGAGTTGTCATCGTTTTTACTTTGTCTAGGGGTCGGCGAAGTTGCGTGGCAATGAATCGTTGCAGCGCGGTGTTTCGTTTCTTCATCTCTCGCCACTCACACTCCCAACATTCAACGAGATTGAATTCCTGCTTCGTGATATAGGCGCTGTTTCTTTGGGTATCTTCAAGGAGTTCCTTCATCGGCTTATCACGTTTTTCGTTGACTTCTTTCCCTTCGTTCAGATGACAGTTGTGCCCATGCCAATAACAACCTATTAAAATAAAGTGCAATACAGTTAAACCTACAAAAGAAAGATAAAGTTATCCTACAAGCCCACGCAATCGCTAAAAACTCATTAGCTCACTCCCACACAATTAACTTAATCCTAGCTAATTAACTTAATCCTAATTACACTAAAACAACAACTTACCATGAAACTGAAACATCGTTTGTGATTCAGCGTGAAAACCGTCCACAGGGAGACAACGAGTGCCAATTCTTTTCTCCGTGTTGTTGTACTCGTGTCTGATACTAATGCCGTGACTGTACGCTTGCCATTCTAACCATTTGATCGCCATTTTCCCACTCCACCGTTTTTAAACCCGTCCTCCTCTAACCGTCTTGTGTACTGCCCCGTTGGCATGTCTTGCTTGATGGCCCACAAGTAGAGCGCATTGGCATCGTAACCAACTACATTTTTGCAGGGTTTCGATTCTTTTCATCTGGCTCGCATTTCTTCCTTCCGTATGAATGATTTCCCTTTCTCGTGGTACCTGTTAAAGATAATGCTGGGGCCCCCTACGTTATTATCCTTCATTGAATAATACATATCCTTGTCCTTCTCGCTGAACAAGGAGAAGTAGGTGCCTGGAATGTTTGAAAATAAATATTTCATAGTTAAGCCAGGCACACTCACACCGTCCTTAAACATATCAATGTTCCTTTCTTGCCAGAAATTGCTCATTTTATCAATTGCTTCAAGGAAGGGGACTACGTCAAGGTTGTTATACCACACGAGAAAGTCGCGCAAAGTTGTCATATTCTCTTCGTCCCATACACCCTGGCAATACTCGTACTGTTCCTCGGTGATGTCGGTTCCGGATAGAGTGGAATGGAAGGTTTCGCGTGGTGGTAAGGAGCAATGATTGAGTTTGTCGAGGGAGTCGACCCACTCGTACGGGAAGTAGCATTTGGTCTGGGAGCACTCGTACGCTTTGAGGAACTGTTCGTAACTAAATCCCGGAGCCAGATAGTTTGTGATATCGAGGAATTTTAAGTGTTGAGTCTTAAGACACATGTGGTTATTGTTCCTTTTTATCACAAACTTAACTTGTTCGTGTTTGACGAGATGTGAAAAGAATGGGTTTTTCGCAGCGTTAATATCATATTTACCAGAGTTGAATCCAAGAATTGGTAGCTCTTGTAAGTATTCTGACAATTTATCTTGGAGTTTGAGTAGAGGATGGACCACCTCCTAAATAAATGAAAAGGTGTCATAAGTAAAAAGCAAGATACTTGCACATCCCTACTAATCTATATAACAACCGCTAAAACGGATCATGAGTGTGATACTTACTCTCTCTTCAACGTCTTTATCTTTATCCACTTCGTCTCCATCTTCACTCACCTAAAAGGTACACATATGGTAAGCACTGGAAAGACCACTGTTGAGCTCAAACCTTATGTTATATACCTCATCATTCAGCCCCATCAAACATCCCACCATTTCCTCTATCATCTGTTCCTCTGTATTTTGCTAAAACATAAGATATATTAGAATATAAAGAATATAAGTACAAAAATAACCTTCCTATAATTTACCTCATTATCCTCCCCCGCGGCAACTTCCATAACCTCGTTTTCCCCTACCTAAAGATATAAGAAAAAATATTAAGGATAAGAAATATACTAAGAATCTAATACGTGTGAATTATACCTCATTGACTCGTTCATCAATTTGACGAAAAACGTCAGAGAATTGGTCCAGCAACAATCCATAGCTTTCCTGGCTGACCTCAACCAAATATTCCACGAACTGTTGGATAATTTCACTTGTACTGCCAGACGAGACGAAGCATTTGGGTTGATCATAACCAGGGACGTTGGAGCAAACAGAGATACTCAAGGGGATATGTTCGGCTTCCCAAGTCAACTTTGCTGTATTTCGTGGATGTTCGGTTTCACGTTTGAAATAACACTCAAAGTCAAAGGTGGCACGATAAGGGAAGTACTTGAGGTCTTCAGGGATCTCGATTCCCTCGTCGGCCAACAAATCGAAGATGGTTGTGGAACTGTGTAGACACCACCAGGGAAGATGTGACGTATAGTTGCTTCGCATGTTCGCTCGTGTCGGTTTAAGGCTCTCGCTGTCTTCCACATTTTGTCACATTTGCAACAACAATAGGACTTGGAATACATGGCCAAATTCTTAATGTAGCTGAAGTGACTACCGTAGAGGTTCAGGTACATCGAATTGGTATATCTACAATGGGAGCGCTGTATCAGTTGAGCCACAATGGAGGTCTTGTCTTCGCCCTCGTCGTGTAACTCTGTAAGGCAATACACGTAAATGTTTAACTCGAATAACTTTTCCAGTTCAGGTAGTTCCTCTAGGGTAACACCGTCAAAATCATCATCTTCCGAATATTGTTCATAAAAATGATGAGTATCACGTTCTAAATTTTTGGGGTGGCAACCTTTGTGCATAGCCAAACAACGAAAGAAACAAAGTTTATCCTCGTATGGTAAACTGGTATTACTATCACAGTCTAGCGACACAGTGGCAGGATTCTCCAACACGTATTTGGGTAAACGCACAGAACGTCCGATGAGATGGTCTCGAAGTTTGGTGACGTAGAAGATAACGTTGGTAATACCCATGACAATCCATTTCGAGTTGGGCCGTTGTTGTCGAGCCCATTCATGAATGTCAATGTTTTGCATCGTTTCGCGAACTTGGACCAAATCCTCGCGATTATGTATCTGGAATGGGGAGTCGAAAACACGGTTGTTGTTTGCTGAGGGGTGGTGGTATTGCATTTGCTGTGTCTCGTTGTTAAACAATACGAAACCAAAAGATAGATTTAACTTAAAGACAGTCGATTGATCTTCAAATATACGCTCTATATCATCAACAAGTTGACCCATATTCGCTGAGCTTAGACGATAGTTGTACCAATCTTGCACTCGGTTGTCTGGACTCTGTCGCGTACGTATAGCACGCCAATGATCTCGGTGAAGTTGGGAAGGCAGGTTAGGTGGGGGTAATAGCGGATCTTGAGGGAACGGTTGGGGTCCTATAGAAATAACACCCGATTCTTTATTTTTGTCTAGAGCTTCGCACTAATTTTGTCATACAAACACCCGATTCATAAAAAATCGACATAAGTCTAACATGAA